GACTCGATGGCACTTAACAGCAACAACATAGGATTTCAGAGGTGTGGTGCTCCATTAAAAAAATGAATCTGTATGAAAGTAAAAGGCCAACAATAACTCTAAAGTGAAGATGCTCTAAGGGGCCAGAGAAACTAGAGCACTGGAAATAGAACCAGAATGCAATTCAAGGGGGCTTCAAGAAGTTCATGGAAACACATAATGAAAATATAATGGAATTTTTCCACTAGCTTTTGAAATCCTCTTGCAAATAGAAAGTTGACATGTGAAAATGTAACTAATGTCACTGAACAATTTGTATAGAAACTGTCAAATGGAAACTTAATTTTTGGTGTAAGCTTTCACTAAAACACTATAAAATATTATTGGGAAAAAAAAAAGTTATCTTCCTAAATTGCAACTGACTGCCAACATTTTATTGTTTGGCAATAACCTAGGATTGCAGGTATGCTTATCTTTCCTTCCTTTTCCTTGTGTTTTTTTTTGGAATTTCTTAACTGTAGTTTTTCTTCTGCTGAGGTAGGGAGAAAGAGGCCCAAGGGTCTATCTTGCTCTCCATTCTCAATTATTGTTGGGTGTGCATTGTAATAGGATCTAGATTGTTACTAGGTTTTCTTTAACAAAGAATTTGTACTTGCTTGACTGTGGACCCTGTTTTGATTTTTTTCTTCTTCTGTTTTTACATTTTCCAGTCAAGTTGCCTAAGTGGTTCTTGGTTTGCTAGCATCTCCCTGTTGGAATTCCCCTGGAGTTCAATTCAGGGTTGGGTCCATTGGCCTCGGACATGGTGTTTTACCTGTGACCTTTTTCCAGTGTACTTTTTCTCTTAGTGACTTCCCCTTCTCTCTTGTCCCTCTCTGAGAATACTAAAGGAATTCTTGAGTAGAACTCAGTTTTATTTTTTATTCTTTGTGATCAAATTTTGAGTGCGATTAATTTTAGTTTTGCTATGTGGTTGGTATCGGCTACCTGGTATTTGGACACTGTGGTCTGGTAAAATCTTTTCTTCTTCTCTAGTAGTCTCATGGGACAACTCAGTCCATTGACATCACAGACTTTATGTTCTGCACCTTTGGAAGTATTTTACATGACCTGCTGTGGCATGCCACACAGCTATTGAGCTTTGGTGTGAAAAGTTGTGGAGTAGAGGGCTCTTATTTAGATTGTTGCTGTTG